GGTGTAGTTACTCAGTACACCTTCGCTACACTAAGTCCTTGAATTTAGCAAGAGTAGTTAGTTCCATGTTAATTCGGTGAATCCTATATGAACACGTAGCAAAGTTTAAAACGTGACTTGAGCATGAAACTGGAGTCTGCTGACCAGTAGTTCGTTGATTTGAATGGGTGTACCATGTTTCCTTTGTTTTAAAAATCATTGATTACCATTAAAACAATATGAAATAAGTTCAGAAGCTATTAGGATCCCATTGGGTTTTCTATTCTGATTTGGAATCTGTTGATGGATCAAGGCTCAACAGCCTATGTTGATCGAGTTGGGCCTCAGTTCTGCTAAAGCCCGTCCCAGCTCTAGTCCTAATTCGTTTCTCATTTGGGCCTGTGCAAAGGCCCATAACTGGTCTACAGCCTTTTTAAAATAAAGCTGGATTGAAACTCCACCTCTTTGGGCTAATATCGAAGCCCAGTGACCTGAATTTTGCAAGTAGGCTAATAACTAATTAAGTAGGGCCTTTCCTTTTATTTTTAGAGACAATACATGATAGAAAATTGTAGATTACTCCAGGTTTGCCTTTAACAAAAAATGAGACGAGCCTAGCCGCACAAAACATATAAAATTGCGGGGCCCTCAATAAATGCAATAAAATACTTAGAATTCGGGTGAACCGTTTAGCGAATTCCACCGTTTTCCCCAAAGATAATAAAAGCGTAGTTGCTTTAGGCGCGTATTTTAATAATATTACCTTCCTTAATGCGGGTGCACACTTATGTGACCCAAATCTAAATCTCAACAAAGTCGAAATGCGTCAAAAGCCACGGGTGCACTGGTGTGACGTGGTTCGAGATATATTTTCACGACGTTGCAATTCTTATTAAAAAGACATAAAATAAAAGCGGTTAAAATAAAAGGCACATAGGTTAGAATATGTTTAAAAATCAGATAAAAGCAAATGCAACAGTTGAGCGACCGTGCTAGAACCACGGAATCCGGGAATGCCCAACACCTTCTCCCGGGTTAACAGAATTCCTTACTCGGAGTTCTGGTTCGCGGACTGTTAACAGAGTCATAATTTCCTCGGATCGGGATTAAACCGGTGACTTGGGACACCATTAACCTCCCAAGTGGCGACTCTGAATATTAATAATAAATCCCGTTCCGATTGTCCTTTATTGGAAAAACTCCTTATGCCCTTGCGGGTGTAAGAAAAAAAGGAGGTGTGACATTGAGTATCTAAGTATTGAACTGCCATGCGTATCTGAGTACTGGAAATTTGTATGTTATAACATGATACATGAAATACTAGCTGTATAGCCGCAAATTCTAGTGGAAACTATAACTCATAAGCTAAATGAACGATCCTTGATAGGATCCCAAACTGCCCGATGTATCTGGGACTGAGCTTTCCTTGCTTCCCATATGTTATATCACCTTTCATAGGCGAAACTTTCAGAAACACCAAATCATCAACTTGAAACTCTAGGTCTCTATGCCGCACATTCGAATAGGACTTTTGGGAAACTTTGAGCCGTCTTCAATGCTCTTAAATCAACTTGGCTTTCTCCATAGCCTGATAGACCAAATCTGGTCCCAAAAATCTACTTCACCAACTTTTAGCCCACCAATTAGCGATATACACCTTCACCCATACAGAGCTTTGTACGGTGCCATCTTGATACTAGAAAGGTAGGTGTTATTGAAAACTCAATGATAGGTATGTGATCATCCCAATTACCTTTAAAATCAAGTACATATCCTCAAGTGTTTGAATATTGCGCTCTACCTGGCCATATTTGTGAGGATGAAAATCTATGCTGAGGTTTACTCTGATGCCTAATCTTTTCTGAAAGGTCTTCTAAATGTTCATTGTAAATTGAGAACCACGGTCTGAAACGATGGATAACACAGTCCAATGCAATCAGAAGATTTCCTAAATGTACATCTTGGCATAATCTTATGCTGAATCTTTGGTCTTTACTAGCAAAGAGTGCACGGACTTGGTAAGTCGATCTGCAATCACCCAATCAAATCATGCTTTCAAAATGAGTGAGATAATCCTGTTATAAATTCTACATTTACCGTATCCACTAAAAATATGTGTATTCTATGGTAAAACACTAGGCTTTCTGTTGCTCAGGTCCATGAAAGGGAAGCTACCTCAGCTGGGCTGTCCAACTCAAAAGTACGCCACCATTGATAGGCTGCCTCTCGAAGCTGGAAGGCAGTGAAGGAAACCCCACTAGTCTCTGTTATACCCATAGTGCGGAGGATACGGTGGCACTCCTCTAGAAATCCTTGAGCATCGTCTGATGTTAGACCACTGAATGTAGGAGGGTCATGCTTCTTGTACATCCCAAGCATCCGCTGCTCCTCCTCTGACTTTCACTTATTGATAATTCGGACAGTTGGCCACAAAGTCTGTGACGTTTTTTTCATGTCGTTCCACCTATCAATCTCCTTGGGATCATGATACATCTTTCTAGAACCAGCGTCGATAGAATACCTGAAATTATGGGCTTCTAACATGGTCCTCCCTCTCTAGGTCCATCTACATCTGGAACACACGATCCATTTTGGTACATCAAAGTACAATTATCTTACCCTTATTTAAAAGCCATCATCTTATACGTATGAATACCTCTTTCAGCTGCAACAAGTAGAGATCATCAAATTGTTTTTTCTTAACTTCGGCTACTAAGGAGGAACAAGTCGTGTTCTGGATAACAACTCCACCATCTTAGGAGTCCAAAAGTCTAACTCCTCGCTTGGCTAAGCGGTGAACTTCTTTCACTGCAGTTCTCTTGCCTGCCTCGATAATGAGCTAAACTTCCCATACTTAATTATCTTTTCGAGGTACTTCTTGAAAACATATACAGCATTGTTGTTACCTAAGTCTTTGACCAATACTCCGAAGATAGAATCTCCTCCAATGAAACTACCCCCGTGATACAAAACTGGGCATGATTTTATAAGTTTTTATATCCCATGCTAACTATGCGGGTGTGAAATCTCCGACTAGACTTACTAACGATTTTTACATCTCCCCCTAAGACCAATGGTTAAGGTCTTGTACTTGAGGATCCTTCTCTTATGTTGGTATCCATGCAACTGTCCTTGTCTTCTGCAATTTTTTGCACTTTACGTCAATGATGAATCATCTTCTTAATTACTTTTGAGCAGTCTTTCTTATTAGAAAAACTAAATTACTTACATAAATGGAAGGTTAATGTATTCACAACTATTATACACGATCTTAATGATTTAACTCTGCTCACACTGTCAATCTTGGGGAACCTCTTTTCGATAACTCTTAAAGGCTATTCTTCTGTAGCTTGTTCTCTTGCTATTGAGCTATTTTTTTCCACTATTACTGAACTTCATGTTTAAGTTAAACTCTGTGTGTTCTAACACCCGTTCGGTGTTGCAAACTATTACCAACTCACTAGTGTTAACCTATCTAAGTAAATCAAATCGTACATCTACTAGCTCTGTTGAAATTGCTAATTCACTGTATCTACTAAAAACTTACTTACTATTCTTTTAATAACCACCTGCTAGCATCCAGTTTTCCAGTTCTGATTTGATTAACTAAAGTGAAATATAAGGGTATTCCTATCATTCCTCACCATCTGACACTATTCTACAACCTTATACTATCGTTTTTTTAATTGTGTACATGGACTAGACTTAGAGAAATTTTATCTGTCTTAAATAAAAATTAGAATATCTAACCCCAAAATTTTTATACACTTCAAAATTATATCAGACTATAAACATCTGGTGGTAAACACTTAGTCACATAACCTAAGGGGGAACTGTCTTATCTTTTATCTCACAATAATAGCGGCTTCCCATTGGTAATTAAAAACATTTCTGACTCACTAGGTATTTTGCCATTAGGCTCTTTTCTATACAAAACTATAGTTATCAATTTTGTGCCTGCTACAATTAAATCCTTAACCTGTTACACCATGGGGTCTGACGTCTAAACTATCATCATCCAACATGTGCTCCATTTCCAAGAATTAAAAATGATATTGTTTCATGAGGTAAAACACATATGGATACACTACCATACACGAACTTGTCCTTCGAAGTATACCATCATCTGATAAATCACTTTATGTACCGTTCGATGAGTCTTGGATCTTAATCCGTGCCTAACTTAGGTAAACCGATAACCATAGAATATGATAATTTTTTTTGTACTTTCTGATAAGGTTATGCTCTAATCTGTACTACTACACATTGCATCCCACTTTTAATATCATCTAAACTCTCATTTGTTACCAACCCATACTCCATAATTATACCCCAATGGGCAATATCCCCTCTAGGACCTTGAATTTTTCCTGCCCGTCGCTAGGGCATTCGATGCATCTAGAATTCGATAGGAAAAGAAGGTTACCTATTGCTCTAAGCTTCACGGCACGATCTAGAGTAGAAAGAAAAAAAGTGTCTTTGTAGTTAACCGTTTATATGAATAGTCGGCACACACATATAAAGAAAATTTGACTAGACACGACTTCATAGACTCCCTAGGATTCTTTAACCTAGTGCTCTAATACCAAGCTTTGTAACGCCCCAAACCTAGGCCTGAACGTAACACGACACCCGGTGCCTGAGTACAAGTGATCGAGCAAACCAACTGACTGGCTGAATCAACACGTAATATCATAACATACTTAATGCAGAAGATAAACTAGCACATGCTGATATATTGAAAGTCTGAATGATACAAAATCAAAAGATCGAGAACACCAATATAATTCTGAAACATATCTGTAGCAAACATTTCTAAACATGAAAAACTTGCGACTCTGCCTAACTATGACTTTAGTCCATGAAGCCTTTAATGATGTACGGAAAATACTAACTGTTAAAAATACTAAAGACTGTAAGGTAATGTTAATGTCCTGAAAGAACTGGGATCACCAAATAGCTGGTACGAGAATCCTAGCGCTCTAAATCATCAACTTGTAAATAATTACCTGCATCATGAGATGCAAGCCCCGGGCAAAAAGGACATTAGTACAATTGAATTGCACTGGTATGTAATGTAACTGAAAGAAAGAATTGTAAATGTTGAAGCTAAAATTAAACTGATAACAGGAACATATACTAATAATTGATAGCTGAATTGATAAAGGAACTGATAATTGATAACTGAACTGAACAAACGAATTAAGGATATGAATACTCCCTCTTCTGAATGATGAACAACCTATTTATCTAACTAAATAAACTACGGCCTCAGGCCCAATATATATGTACACAAACTGCGGCCTCAAGCCCAAGTATACGTATACGTAACTACGGCCTCAGGCCCAAAGATGTATAAAGCATAAACTGCAACCTCGGGCACAAATACAGGTGTTCAACATTCTCGGAGTTAAAAACAAGAACTGAAAATCGTATTGTAATATATGATACTGAAATACTAAACCATACTGAGTTCATTAAGTATATAACCTGGGTTTGATACCAACTAAGAACAAGTGTAGTACCGATGTTGGAGAACGATAAATATAACGAGGAAGAATGGCGATTAGTTATTCGAGAGAATTATGATTAAACTTGCAGCCTCAAAATTTCACTAAGAAAGTATATTGGATTACTGGCTATAAGGGCTCTCTTAGCCCACTGCCATATCAACAACCTTTTTCTTAGATCAAACTAATCAGCTTTTGGTAATCACTCATGGAAAGTAATTACTTCCTTTGTGATTTCTATTATTCTACACTCTGTAAGGATCAACCACCATTTTTAGAGAAAACAGAATAAGAGAAAGTTAAGAAACAAATCATTTTATTGCACACTTAATATTTTTTTCAGGGAGAGAATTCGATGATCCTCCTGAACTCTGAAGGTCCTCTTTTATAGGTAAAGGAGATGACTACATATTAGTAATATAATCCATGATCTCATTGCTTACTTAAATAATGGTTGATAAGGACTAACAAAGACTTAAAGTAAAAGACTCGATAATATAATTATGATCTCATTGCTTACATTGAAGAGCATTAAGGACTGACAAAAAAGACAAGGGGTGGGTCCTTATGTCTCTCAATTATTTTACAAGGCTCCAAGAACTTTAAAAGCTGAAAATGACTTAAAGTAATGCTACCAAAAAGTCAAAAGTAGCTTTAGGCTTAATAATTCATAATGGAATAGATTTCTTATTGATAAGAAATTTCCTGCATAGATATAGACTTTAGTAGACCCACTAGATGTCCATTGTTTAACCAAAAAATATTATTTCGGTTAAAACTAGAATTTGAGATGAAAAATTGGGTTACTGATAATCAAGAGACCAAAAAAGAATAATAGGCTTTCTGAGAATAATAATAAAGCAGCGAACAAGTTTTTATTTCAGTATGATGTCCACAATGATCTTTTCCCAATACAACTTCCTCCTTTTATAGTTGATTCTAGATAAAGGAATGAAACCTAAGCTTTAATGAGATAATTATGGACAATAAATGATATTAAATGAGCCGTGACACAATCATTCCTATTAAATACCAATTTTCTAACGTATCAGGTATTTAATACTGAATTTGGACTCCTTTTTGTCTTCAGATCCATGTTTTCAATGCCTTTTGATCCACTGGCTTTAAATGACTTGAATTGATACGAGACTCGTATCTAAAATGCTTCTCGTGCCTGTTTCACTTCCTCTTCTCGTACCTGTCATCTCCCGTACCTTTTTCTTAATTGTTATACTTTGACTATTTGTCCAGTCCACGTGTCACGCCACGTCATCTTCAATATAAATTCAACTTTTTCCCAATACAGATAGTCCCCCCACTTTCCATTTATTTATCAATTAAATATTTGGGAAGTGGATCTTCATTAAAAAGGGAATTTTTGCCATAATCAATGCGATGACAGTATTGCCTCTTCAATTGTCTCTTCTATTTAATGCACCATATACGTGTCGTTTTCTCATTAGTTCTGCGATTTTGCAGCCTTTTTCTAAGGCTTTTGTAACTCCACTATTTACGAAGTGATAGTTGCCTTTATTATAGGTTTTCCATCATTACACTTTTTAAGTTAATTTACTAACGGTTGAGTTTATACATAAACTTGCCCCTTTTCTTTCTTTGTCTTCTTCTCCATAAATCTTTAGCAAACGTTTTTCTTCCTTATTTTTGCTTCCCTTTGATTCATCTCTGCTCAACAATGGTGTCTCCAAACCCTAACCCTAGAAAAGTTCCTATTTTAGACAAATTCCCCAATGCCCCTGTTAGACATAGAAGAGACAGAGGAGGCAGACTTCGTACAGGGTTAGAATCTACTCGAGGCGGCTCTTCTGGTTCTTCTTCTAGGAGTTCTATTCTGAAAACTCCTTCTTCTAAAGGTAAAGAAATTGTTGATTCTTCTCGAGAACCTTTAGTTGATGAAATCGTACCAAGTGATTTATCTTTTGTAAGTGATAGACAATCCCTTCAAAAGCAAGTTGCTGGTTTCGACAAAACTGACACATATCCTACATTAGTGACCGAACTTACAATCCCTACCATCAGAGGAGATTGTAACTGGAAAAATAGTCTTCGAATGTCAATTCCTTCCATAAACCAAAGAATTTCTTCTTTTAGGATTGGATACTCTTTTGTCTATACTTACCCTTTTACTTTGGGTTTTAATCCCCCAATTGACCCAATCATCCTCGATTTTTGCCGTTTCTTTAATATTTGTCTGGCCCAAGTTGGTCCTTTAGTATGGAGAGCAGTGGCTTGTTTGAGATATCTTTCTACCAAAGCCACTGTTAATTTCACCTTTTCTCACCTTATCCATTTATACCACCCTAATTTGATACGTCATGGAGTCATTACCTTAACTGCGAGAAGCAAGAAGGTTTTGGTAAGTACAGAAGATGACAATGATCGTGGATGGTATGCCCGTTACGTTGCTGTGCGTACGGTGGATTTACTTGGTGAAACAAATATTCCCTTCCCTGAGAAGTGGAATTTGCACGTAAGTTTCTTTTTTTAATTGACCGTACCTCTTTTTCTGTTGAGAATTTCGATTCTTTTTCTAAATTTGTCTCTTTTTGGTTTTTTGTAGCAACCATGGGAGATGTGGAACCTGTTCCCAACTTTCGTGGTTGGGTAGATTCAATTTTGAAGGTTGCTCTTAAGGAGCAAAGAACTTGGAAATCAATTTCCGCTTTACATGGCTGGAAAGTTAAAACACACGGTATCGCCTCTTTTCTTTATACATTTTTCTTTTTGCACTTTAAGTACTTTTTTCTTAATGTTGATTGTGTATTCTTCTTTTAATCAGGATTTGGTAACAGAGGAATGACAGCTGATGTTGTCACAGCCCTTCGCATGTCTGGTAATGCTGCACTTGACTTGGACAAGACTCGAACCTTGCTTCAAAAAAGGAAAGCTATAGGAGAAGGTTCTAAGAATGAGGAAGAGGGAGGTACCTCGTCAATAGCTAGGCCACGAATTAGGAGACGAGTTATTAATGATGATGAAATTGAAGATACTCCTGCTCAAACTTCGACCACCGAGCCTGTTTTGATTCCTTCAGATGAAGACACCGTGCCAAGAAACACAAATGAATCAACTCAGCATCTCTTTGATAGTGGTTTTGAGAGTGGCGAGCTCGGACCTGTTTTCGATGAAGTTCCTCTTTCTTCATTCGCACCTATTTCTTCCATTCCTTTGCCAACCGTAAGTGTTTCTTTGCCAGCATTGACTACTTCTGTTCTTTCACCAGTTTTAATTGCTTCTACTTCCATTCCTATATCTACTTCTTCCGTTCCTGTTCCCACTCCTACGACTCCTGTGGTGTTTACCTTTTCTACTACTCCCCCTTCCGCTGTTCCATCTTCATCTGTCCCACATATAGAAGTAAGTTCCAGCAATAGAAGCATGACCATGAGGAGTGTCACACTCGAAATCCCTGCTAATCAAAGCCTCTTAAGAAAATCTGGGAGAGCTGATACTTGGCTCCAACCTCTTATTGGAGAAATTGAAAAGAATAAGATGCAAAGCCATAGTTGTTACACTTTGATGAATGACATAGTTCATTCAACTTTGAAGGTAATTTTCTTAACCTTGAATGCTTTCCTTCTTTTTCTTTCTAAGTTCTCACTTCTATGCTTTATGACCGTAGGCTAATCTTATTGGGACTGAATTGATGGGGCGAGTTTCTACATTGGAGAAAAAGGAACGAGAGTCTACAAGGGCTCTATCTGAGGCTAGGAAAATAGCTGAGGATGCATTATTTGAGGCAGCAAACTGGAAAAAACAATTTGAGAGTACCCAAGTGACTGTAGAAGAGTTGCGGGAGAGCAAGGCTCACTTGGAGCAACAAAATCATGGCTTAACTTCTGAATTGGGAATTGCGAATGCTTCTTGGGGTCAGCTTAAAGAGGATAAAGAGCTTCTGGAACGTTCTTTATCTAGAGCCAATGATGAGATTAAAGAGCTTAAAGCACTCATGGAGAAGAAAGAAGAATACGCAAAGGAGTTAGCTCAAAACTTAAGTCATGCTCAGAATGATTTAAGAATTTCTTCTGATAGAATCCGTGCCTTGGAAAGTTCTCATGCCTCTCTTGAAGCTTCCCTGGATTCTCATTTAGCCGAGCACCAAATAATGAAAAATGACCTTGCTATGTGGGAAAAGGAATACAAGGCTTTGGAGAAGGAATATAATGCTCTTGAAGAAAATTTCAACATAGACGTGAGTTGGGCTTTTCTAAATTCTCGACGTGATGCTTTGATGGAGGCTACACAGGAAAACTTTGACTTGCAATCTGAGTTGGCCAAAGTCATAGACACTATCGAAAAAGGTCAACAACCTGCTGATACTCCTTCTCCGGCACTTGGAACTATTGACACCCCCTCTCCAGCACTTGAAGCTCCTGGAACAGAAGAGTGTTTGAACTCCGAAGCAGTTACTGAGGTACTTGAAGTTATAACTCCAGCTTCCGAAGTTGAAACTTCTATGACACAGTCTATGGAAATTGAAGTTCCTGTGACTGTTACTTCCCTCGTTGATGTTATCTCTTCAAGCTCAGCTGAAATCGCTCCTATTGCTGCTTCGTCAGAAGTTGTAACCGCACCTGTTATTGCTTCAGAAAGTGATGTTACAACTTTTAATGATTGTTAATGTTATCCCTTGGCAATTTTGAAGGGATCTTTTGGTGAAGTCCCCAGTTACCATAATGGGGCACTTGTAAGACAAATATTTTGGTGATTAAGTTTTTCCTCAGTCTTTTATGTTAAGAAGTTTTATGAGTATTTCTTTATGTTTTATTCTTGCCTATTTACTTATTTAGGACTTATAGAATAACTTAGCATTTTAATTCTTTGAAAATGCTTTATGATTCTTCTCATGGAATATCAACATGAGGCTTATAAAAGAGGGCCCTTTTATATATATATCGACACTTAATGAAGAAGACGTCTCAACTTCATAATGGTGTTATAATACGATGAAAGAAATAGGAATACACATGTTTTGTATGCTACAACTTCGACAAGTTTTTATTTATGAACTTGAACAAACGTTGACATGTATTAAAGTACATCTATAACTTTCTCGCAACTGTTTTCCTTGTAACAGATTTATATAAAAGAAGAACAATAGATACGAGGTTTTTCTTTATAACCCGTTTTAGTACATAGTCCCGACCCCATCTTTAGGAAGGGTTTGAGAGGTGACTCCATTGTTCCCATGGTAAAGAATACTATGTATGCTTATGCTTGGATTCCATAACCTCTGCTCGACACTTGTTTCTTGATTTATGCATCTATTTTCCGTACGTATCCGTTCTGTGTTTATTGTACAGTCCCCAAGTGTTTGAGCTGTGAAATATAAAGCCTCAAGCATTTGTTTTTCCTCTTGACTTGGTCCTTTTCCTGAAACAGAAAAATTTGCGGGACTCGGAGGTTCGATTAGAGATGAAGACTGCCTAACCCGTGTATTTTTCCATCAGATTACTTGTAACCCTGGGCTGGGAATTTAAGACTATTCCCTTTTGCCGTACAGGTCGTGACTCATCATTTGGCACGAGTTAGGGTTTTTGCCTAGCATCTAAAATCGTTAGTACAATTGTTAATAATTAAAAAATGAATTTTAATATAGAGATACCTGACCGTGGATACTTTTCTCAAAAATAGTATCTTTTTAGATGGACAGCATTCCAATGCGAGGGTAATAGCTTGCCATCCATTGTCTCCAACTCGTATGCTCCTTTTCCTGCAATGTCACGAACTCTGTAGGGTCCTTCCCATGTTGGACTCAGCTTTCCTGAATTAGCAGCCTTTGTAGATTGGAACACCTTTTTAAGCACGAAGTCCCCAATTTTGAAGAATCTGAGGCGTGCTTTCCTGTTATAGTATCGTTCAATTACTTGCTTTTGTGCCGCCATTCTTATTAGTGCAGTTTCTCTTCTTCCTTCTAACAAATCAAGATTCACCCGCATCTCTACATCATTTGATTCCTCCGATGCTTGAACGTACCGTGTGCTTGGTTCTCCTATCTCTACTGGAATCAAAGCCTCCGCACCATAAACCATTGAAAATGGGGTTTCTCCCGTGCTTGTTTTTGTCGTTGTACGATAAGCCCATAATACTCCAGGTAATATTTCAGGCCAATTACCTTTCGAATCTTGCAATCTTTTCTTCAAGTTGTTAACGATAACCTTATTCGTGGACTCAGCTTGTCCATTTCCCACTGGATGATATGGTGTAGATGTTATTCTTTTAATCTGCCAACTTTCGAAAAATTCTGTGATTTGGGCCCCTATGAATTGTGGTCCATTATCACAGACGATTTCCCTTGGTACTCCAAAACGGCATATTATATTTCTCCAAATGAAGTCTTTAACTTCTTTCTCCCGCACCTGTTTAAAAGCTCCTGCTTCTACCCATTTAGTGAAGTAATCTGTAAGCACAAGTAGAAATTTTACCTGACCTTTTGCTAGTGGTAAAGGACCTACAATATCCATTCCCCATTTCATAAAGGGCCACGGGGCAATGACAGGATGGAGTAACTCAGCTGGTCTATGTATATTATTGCCGTATCTTTGACATTTATCACATTTAGACACGAAATCATTAGCTTCTTCTTCCATCTTGGGCCAATAATATCCTGCTCGAATCAATGTTTTCACCAGCGACCTCCCACCAGCGTGACTTCCGCAATGTCCTTCATGTACTTCCCTCATCACATATTCTGTTTGAGAAGGTCCGAGACACCTTGCTAATGGGCCACCAAACATCTTTCGATAAAGATTCCCTTGATGTAAACAATAACGGGCAGCTTTTTTGCGAAGTGCATGAGCTTTTGTTTTGTCGATAGGCACGGTACCATGCTGTAAAAAAGCAATAATTTCATTTCTCCAGTCCCATGTTAAATGATTAAAATTTACCTCATTCTTATCAGGTTCGAGGACGGAATGAAATAGATGTACGATTGAAGTATTTGTATCATTTGCCACGTCTGCTGCGGACGCGAGATTAGATAATGCATCTGCTTCTGCATTCTCGTCTCTTGGGATCTGCATTACCTTCCAAGTTTGGAATTGTGTTATTAATTCCCGTACTTTTTCCAGATATTCTTGCATTCGAGTTTCCCTGGCTGTAAAAGTCCCCAGTATTTGATTAACCACAAGTTGAGAATCGCTCTTGATTATAATCTGGGTTATGCCAAGTTCCCGTGCCAGTTCTAAACCTGCAATTACAGCCTCATACTCTGCTTCATTGTTAGTTATAGAATGACATTTTATAGCTTGTCTAATAGTTTCACCTGTAGGAGGTACGAGAACTATCCCTAGGCCTGCACCTTTTACATTAGAAGAACCATCAGCGAATAAAATCCAAGTCCCCGGGTTTGCACCATTAAAAACTTGTAACTCTTTTTCTGCTTCTAAATGCATTCCCTGACTAAAATCAGCTATGAAATCGGCTAATACTTGAGATTTTATTGCAGTTCTAGATTGATAACTGATTTCATATTCGCTTAACTCTATGGCCCATTTTGCTAACCTTCCTGATAACTCATGTTTATGCAAAATGCTTCGTAATGGAAAAGCAGTAACCACAACAATGGGATGGGACTGGAAATAAGGTCTCAATTTTCTAGATGCCATGATCAAAGCTAAAGCTAACTTTTCTAGTTGCGGGTATCGTGTTTCAGCATCTAACAGAGATTTACTTACATAATAGATAGGAGATTGTTTACCTTGGTCCTCTCGAACTAAGACAGCACTTACCGCAACTTCTGATACAGCCAAATAAATGAGCAACTTTTCACCCTCCTTCGGTTTTGCTAGCAGCGGCGGGTTTGACAAATAAGCTTTCAAATTTCTGAGAGCCAGTTGACAATCTTCGTTCCATTCAAAATGATCTTGTTTTTTGAGTGCTGCGAAAAATTTAAAGCACTTCTCCGAAGATTTGGAAATAAACCTCCCCAAAGCCGCAATTCTTCCTGTTAATCTTTGAACCTCTTTCTTACTTGTAAGGATATCAGGAATTTCTTCTATTGCTTTGATCTGAGAGGGATTCACTTCAATGCCACGGTTAGAAACAAGAAAACCCAAAAATTTACCTGAGGCAACTCCAAATGCACATTTTTCTGGGTTGAGTTTCATATTAAATTTTTGCAAAATTCCAAATGTAACAGATAAATGAGAAATATGATCATTAGAATGCTGGGTCTTGACGAGCATATCGTCTATATATGCCTCCATAGTTTTTCCTAATGTTCTTGGAACATTTTGGTGACCAACCTTTGATAGGTTGCTCCAGCATTCTTGAGACCAAAGGGCATTACTTTATAACAGTAAGTCCCCCTGTCTGTGATGAAAGAAGTTTTGTTTTCATCACTGGGGTCCATTTTTATTTGGTTGTACCCCGAATATGCATCTAAGAAACTTAAAAGTTCATGCCCTGCAGTTGCATCAATTAATTGATCTATATGAGGTAGAGGGAAGGAATCTTTTGGACAGGCTTTGTTAAGATCGGTATAATCTACACAAACCCGCCACTTACCGTTTTTCTTAGGTACGACGACCGTATTAGCCAACCAATCGGGGTACTTTACCTCACGGATTGACCCAATTTTTAATAGCTTTTGGACCTCCTCTTGAATCACCTGGTTTTTGAAAGCTCCTTGCTTTCTTTTCTTTTGTTTTACGGGTATGCAAGATGGGTCTTCATTTAGTTTGTGAGTCATTACATCCGGTGGTATTCCTGTCATATCAGCATGGGACCAAGCAAAACAATCCACGTTAGCTTTTAAGAATTCAATTAACATACCTCGCGTATCTGAGCTTAAGTTGGCTCCCACATAAACCTTTCGTTCAGGCCATTGTTCAAATAGTATCACAGGCTCGAGCTCCTCAATTGTTGTTTTGATGTTTTCATTCTCTTCAGGCTCTTGAATCATATCAGGTCTCAAGTCTATATCTGTCTTTCCTCGTTCCGTTGTGGTTTGGTCTATGTCTTTTTCAACTTTATTTACAGCACTCGTATCTGTTACCATATTAATACTCCTAGCTGTATGTTGTTCCCCTCGAATTTGACAGATTCCCCATGGTGATGGGAATTTCATTACTTGATGTAAAGTTGACGGGACAGCGTCCATATCATGAATCCACGGTCTCCCCATGATTACATTATATGCCATCTCCATATCTACTACCTGAAATTTGGTATCTTTCACAACACCTTCTGCAAAAGTTGTTAGAATTACCTCTCCTTTAGTTACAACACTGGAATTATCGAATCCTGTTAGAGTATGCACCTTTGGAATCATCTTATCCTCCGCTTGCATTTCACGTAGTACTCTTAATAGGATGATGTTTGCAGAACTTCCTGGATCAATCAAAACTCTTTTTACATTAGTATCATGTATAAGTAAAGATATTACCAGAGCGTCGTTATGGGGGGTGATCACTCCTTCTGTGTTTGCATCATTAAAAGTGATACTTTCATCCTCTAAGGTTTGACGCACTCGTTTCCTGTGCGTGATTGTGACTTTGGAAACTTTATTTGAAGTTGTGTATGTTACTCCATAAATATCTTCTCCCCCACTTATAACATTCACGGTTCTCTTGGGTGATGGGGGTTTTGATGGCTTTTGCCTGTTTTTCATGTAGGCTT